GTGTGCTAAACTACATGTTTCATTGTTTAATTAATTATAAATATCAATACTTATATCAATGTATAAAAGACAATATTGAGTAAGCAAAAGCTTAATGTTAATCAACTCTGCTTTCGCTGACACAAAATGTCGATCGCATATTGCGCTGATAAGCACTCCTTTCTCCTTAACATTATAAGAGTTATTCGAGTTGAGGGCATTTTATGTTCGTTGCTGCTGCATTACTGTCCTTTCTGATAATAATAATATTGTACTCCAGACCAAATTCAAAATGAAAAGCTTAAAAAAATATATAGATAGGTGATATTATGTGATTCTGATTCCAAATAATGTGGCAGTTTATGAAGGGAATTGTGGGATGACACATTTTCACCCTAACTAGTCAGATGAGAATGTGTCAACAAAATAATATTTTTAGGTAGGAAGTGTGGTTGATATTTCATTTTTTTCTTTTAAAAATTTATGAAATGAATGAATATGTCTGAATTTTCTTTTTTGGTGGGTCATTGTAAGTCACCCAGAATGAGGGTACATGAAAGGTTGTGACATGAAATGACTTGGGGTGCTTTTTATGTTGATTTATTATATTAGAAAATTATGTAGGTAATTTAATTTAAAAACATCAAATTTGATGGTTTTTTTTTAAATATTTTATACAATTCATATTAAATGCTGAATATAGTATTTAAATAAATTTTTATTGGTAAAATATTTTGTTTTATCACTATTTCCATAAAACAAAAGTTCTGAAATCATGCTTATCAAATTGAATACTATTACATACCTAGTTATCTGATTTTTAAAAAATAAGAAAATACCAAATGATTCACTATACAGGGTTATTTTTTGCAATATATGCCCAAATTTGCAGAGAAGGGTCAGAATTAGTAATATAAACGAATGATGAATTAAAAAATTATGAAACATTTTGTCCTTTTTATCTTTTAAATTCAGAACACGTGGGTTTAAATAATGCATTACGCATTATTTAACTGATTGTCATTCATAAATATCTAACACATACTATTTTACTATGCACGCACACATTCGTAAGGGTCGCTCGGTCGGCAAAAACTTAGTGAATTGAATCGCCCACACAGGAGCGCTCTTACGCGTCGTTATTGCCACATTCAATTTGGGATAATTTCAAATAAAATTAGAAGCCTTATTTTCTCATATTTTCAAAAACTGCAATAACTTTATATCATTATTTTTTGAGCTTAAATATAAAATTTCGACACATCTTCTCGTCAGGTATACCTCAAACTCCGAAAACTAGATTGTACAATCAGTGCGTGTTGCCAGCGATGACTTATGGATCTGAGATGTGGTCCTTCACTGCTGGTCGTATGAGGACACTCAAGGTCGCTCAGCGAGCTATGGAGAGGGCTATGCTCGGAGTTTCTCTGCGTGATAGACTCAGATATGAGGATATCCGCAGTAAAACCAGAGTGACCGACATAGCCCAACGGATTAGTAAGTTGAAGTGGCAATGGGCCGGCCATATAGCTCGAAAAACCGATAACCGATGGGGAAGAAAGGTTCTCGAGTTGAGCCTCTACCAGTAGGCGTAGTGTAGGGCGGTAAGACATGCAGGAAGTCGATGGATGCAGGTGGCTCTGGACCGTGCTTTGTAGCATTACTTGGGGGAGGCCTATGTTCAGCAGTGGACTTGTGAAGGGCTGTGGATGATGATAATGATGATAAAATTTGGATACTCTAAAAATAACCCTGTATATAATTTATATACTTATAATCCAATTTGCCTGCCAACAATAAGACCAACAGAAATATACACACTGGTCATGCAGGTCTAGGGAAAGAACCAGTATCACTGCGACCTAGGAGATCTATTGTGATCGCTGCTATTGGCTAAGCCCTATGTCTTCAATGAATAGAAGGAGTTGCTTAGCCGTGGGCAATTTCACTTCTTCTGGGCGGAGTACATAGTTTTCCAGATGAGTGTTACGTTTGCGCATTAAGGGTTCCGCAATCAGCTAGGATGTGTAGAGGCGTTTCTTCCGTTATGGAACAGAACCGACACATCCTTGAGTTGCTTAGTCCCAGGATGGACATGTGCTTTTTAAGACAACAGTGTCCGGTTAGGGCTCTTGCCAGAATGCGCAATTTATTTTTACTTAATCCTAGGGCTTCTGAAGCGAATTTACGATCAAAAGCCCGGATTAAGGTTTTAGAATGTTTTAAGCCTGGTGTGTCAGACCAGATCTTAAGTGACTTATTGTGATAAAGAGTTTCAAGGGTCAATCGGGCTAGGCTTCTTGGGATTCCACAAAATGGCTCAGGTCCAAATTGTGTGCACTTTGAGCCCTTCCGTGCAAGTTTGTCGGCAAATTCGTTGCCTACAATACCCTCGTGACCCGGAACCCATCTTAAAACGACCCTGTTGTTACATCCCAGGGCGTTTAAACGGTTCATGCAGTCTCCAACTAGCTTCGAGTTCACTAAGTTTGACTTCAGCGCTAGCAGTGCTGCTTGACTATCACAGTTTATGTAAATTATATGGTTGACGTAGTGTTTTTGCAGATAGATTTCCGCACACCGAAGTATGGCGAAAATTTCTGCCTGGAAGATAGAGGTGTATCTACCCAAATTCATGCTAAGTTTGAATTTGGGGCGTTCCCCGTAAATTCCAAAGCCTACGTCGAGGCCCATTTTAGACCCATCGGTATACCATATGAGGCTACCGACCTCACAGATAACCTGGCCATTCAGCCAGTCTTCTCTGGAGGGTAATTCCACTATATAATTTTTATCAAAAGTGTGTAGTGGACGCATGATATCTGAGATCATGCATAAGATCGGTGAATCCCTAATTGAGTCGAGCATGGATCTCAATCTGTAGGAGAGCAAGCTCAGACCGCCCTGGGCGTTAATCCTATACAAACTAGCCCTCGCCTCCTTGTCTACATATAAATCAAGGGGTGTTAGGCATAGAAGTGCATTAAGAGCCGCTCCAGGCGATGATCGCATAGCTGCAGTTGCCATTAAGCAGGCAGGCAGTCCTTTGTAGACTATTTAGTCTGTTCGTAGTCGTCTTTTGGTTGGCCTTGTTACACCAGACAATAGAGGCGTAGGTGAGAATCGGCCTCACTATGCTGCTGTACAGCCATAGGACCATACTAAGACGCAAGCCCCAGTTGTTCCCGACCAAACGACTGCACGTACCTAAAGCAATTTTTGCCTTATGGCATACATTGCTAAGGTGAGAGTTCCAGTTCCAGTTAGTATTTGGTCGATTGTTACGCCCAAGTACTTAACTTCCGTGGAAAATGGTACTTCTTTACCATTAAGTTTTGGTTAGACTAACTTGTCCAACCGTCTTTTTGGTAAAGGGTATTATAACAGTTTTATCAGCATTAACTGATAAACTGTTATCCCTACACCAAATATTTATGGTTTTTAGGGCTGTTTGGATTATTGACGATAAAGTACTTTGGCAAAAGCCCCTCACAATGATCACGAGGTCATCAGCATAACCCAGTGTGTCAATGCGTAGGTCTGCCATTTTGTACAATAGTTGGTCAACAGCAAGAGTCCAAAGAAGGGGTGACAAAACACCTCCTTGTCGGCAGCCTCTTGTAGTTGAAACCTCAATCGAAGTTTGAAATAGCGCTATTTTTGCCTTTATGTTTGAGAGCATCGACTTCACCCATCTGATGGTTGTGGGGTCAAATCATTTTTAGATGTCAGTCCCCCAATCAGCAGTGATGTGGGGCTACTGTCGAAGGTGCCCTCAATATCTAGAAAGGCACAAAGAGCTTTCTTTATCCTCCAGTGCTTTTTCAACCCTGTCAATGACACTGATCAGAGCTGTTTCTGTAGATTTGCCTCTGCGGTAAGCATGCTGGTTGTAATGTATGGGCCTCGTAGCTAGCTACACTATACTATATACAATACATTTATCACAGTCTAGTTTATGATTTACAGACTGTGATACTACGTACATTTCAAGCGATGCCGCACCCATGATCATCTTCTTGACACGCATTCACACATCTATGTGAGTCTATTAAACCATGTTGTTGGTGTCAAATTATTTTCAATGCACGTGCAATGCGATGTGTTTGTGACTCCATGTTCTTTCAAAAAGTTATGCATGGCTTTTGGCGTCATTTTAAACAGAATACTTTATAATTTATGACTTGAAATGTGTGTATTGTAACATTAATGTTACAGCCTATTAAAGTTCACTGCTAAACATAGGCCTCCCTCATAGAATATAATGTATGTGAAATTTATGTAGTGTTCTATCTTTCCTTGTTAGTCTGAGGCTAAGCATGGTGATTACAGCAAGTCTTGTATGGTATAAGTAATATAAGAATTTGATACCCTAATGTAGAAAATGTACATTGGTATGTTGCAATATAAATATACGATATGACCAGAGAAATTTTAAATATCTTTATTACACATTAACGGTCTTACTAATAACCGTTGATTATCACTTACTTCAGTTACGTATTATTTTTATAATAATACGTAACTAAAGTAAGTGAAATAGAATTGCACATCGATTTTATAAGTAAGGCCGTACGGTATTTGTGTAAAAAATTTCCATGTCGTTAAACATGTAATTATAGATATGTATATATGTAGTTACAGCCTATATGTACTGGGCTATATGTGTCTCACTACAGTTTCATTTCTGAAACTGTAGTGAGATACACATAAATATTTTTTGATTAAAATAATTTTATATAACGAAGCATTATTTTATTCATTTCCTTCAAGTTTTGGGTATTTATCTGTAAGTATATTTACATGTATGGTTCATAAAAGATAGCTTGATCTCTGCGACAGCTGTCAGTAAAAATCACGCCTCTCTAGTATATAGTTAGTAATCTATGCAGCGTTGTTCCTGTGGGGAAGATTTTTGCCATTTTTTCCCGCTAGGTGTCGCGATTGCTATGATCCGCTGTGCCTATCTGTGCATCGTTATATTTTAGATCTTTTTGACGTTTTTATTAAATCTAATAAAAATGACTAATTGTGCAGTGCCGGGATGCAAAGAAAATGGATATCATTTGTTCCCAAATGATAAAAATAGAAGAAGGTTGTGGGCCAAAGCAATAAAACGCCCAGAATTGGCGAAATCGCAATCTTCTTATTTACGATTATGTGGACGTCATTTTACAGAAAATGATTATAAAACTGTGAAATCGTCTACAGGTGAGTAGGTTTATTTTTATATATTGTCTTTGCTCAAATCTTTCACAGATGTCATGTAACTTGATTGTTTGAATTGCAGGTTTCAATTTACAGCGCCGAATTTTAATGAAGAATGCGTTACCATCAGTTTTCCCTTGGTCGAAGGTTCTACCACCTTCCGCAGCTGCTAGGGAGGAGAGACTGCGAAATAGAAACCTAAAAAAACAACTATTCGCTCCAAACTTCTTAGGTTTTAGTGATACCGGAACTCTGGATAGTGAAACTTCAAACATAAATAAACAGCTATGTGCAAGTTACAGCCATACTAAAATTCAGAATATTAACAATAAATCGACACAAACCTCTGTTCTGTTGAGATTATTTGCTACAGAAGAACTACTTATTGATGACACATCAGTAAAATTTTATACTGGGCTTGAAACATACAAAAAATTTAAATTTGTTTTTGACACTTTATGCCCTATGGCCTACAATCTGTGTTATAAATCAGGAAATGTGATATCTTTAAGTGTGAAAGACCAGTTTCTAATAACATTAATGAAATTGAGACGTAACTATTGTAATTTTGAACTATCAAAAATATTTGGTGTCAGTCGAACTGTAGTATCTAATATATTTGTAACCTGGGTGAATTTTATGTATGATACTTGGTCATTAATTGAATTATGGCCTACCCAAGAGTTGGTCCAATACTATACCCCAGAAAGCTTTGAGAATTTTGAAAAAACAAGAATTATCATAGATTCGACAGAAGTGCCAATATGTAAGCCAACAAACCCTCTATCACAACAGGCCACATTTAGCAACTATAAAAACAAAAATACAATCAAATTTCTGATTGGTGCTACTCCAGGTGGTCTAATTTCATATTGTTCAGATGGTTATGGTGGGGCAACAAGTGATTGGCAATTAACCGAAAGATCGTCATTAATTAAGCTTTGTCAGGCAGGAGATATAATTATGGCTGATAAAGGGTTTAATGTTCAAGACATTTTTGCCTCAAAAAATGTTGCAATTAAAATACCCACATTTTTAAAGGGGGTGTCACAACTCTCCACACATGATTTGAAAAAAAGATAGGGAGTTGTCCAAGAAAAGAGTGCATATTGAAAGACTCATTGGACTGACAAAAACATACACCATTCTTAAATCTGAAATTAATAGTTATTATGTGCCACTGACTTCCAAAATATTTTTTTTGTGTGTAATGTTTTGTAATTTTAGAGAAAGAATTGTTTTTAAATTTAAATAAATACACTTGTGAAAGGTAATCAAGGTTTTATTATTTCTGCATAGTACTTATATAAATATTTATTTAAAACAGCTTCTTCGAAGTAGTTTTTATAGAAGAGGTCCAATTTCTTAACCATTTCTGCTATAAAACGTTCATCCTTTGTGATATACACAACCTGGAGATCTTTATATGTATAGATGATAAGATTACAGAATTCTCGGTTAGTACAAAATAGTTGGCCTTGTATCTGATAGTAATAGGGATGTGTTTTTTTTATTTGCAGTTCTCCATTTTCTAGACACAGATAAGGTACATTAACCGGATTTATGGAGCCATACCGAGTTGAGTAAGGGCATTGTACTTCAATAATTGTGTTATTTCCAAGTAATCCATCAGGAGAAGCACGTAAATATGGTTTCTCTTTATTAATGAATAAGCCACATTCTTTGACATCAAGTGCATATTTATCACAATATTGTTTTAGGGCTACTTTTTCACTAATTTTGCCATGATTTGTAGCTCTGGTTGACACACTCCGTCTGGACATTATGTTCTTTGCAAAGCTGGGCATATTTTGGACACTCAAATGGCAAATTGTATGAAAATTACTTGCTGTGAGACGATTTTTTCTGTGTAGATACCAATTTTCATTTTGACTTTGCATTCTAGTGTCTCTTTCGATATTTTCAATATCTTCTAAGGTAACATTTTTTAAATATAAGGATTTCAAAATTTTATCTTTTAAAGAAACACTGTAACTGCCATGATCCCACTCGATTGCATAAGGATTTGCAGGTTTATATAGTTGCCTTAAAGGCATAGTACTGCCTGTACAATTTAAGACAAGATTCCGTATTCTTTCATTATATTTGTCTTTCTTGATAATACCCCTATATGAATAAAAATTTAAATTCCCTTCAGTTCTTTTATAAGGTAAATTCTGTGCTTTCAGAGGTGAGGAAAAATATTTTTCTTGGGCTGGTGAAATCTCTGTAGCTTTTGAGTAGACACTTCCTCTAATACTATAGTTTTATGTTCAATCATATCAACTGTGCCAAACAATACAGTAGCAACATGCTTGCACTGTGAATTAACTCCAGATCCAGCTGTACATTCACAATTAGTCTCTTCTAATATACCATTTTTGTATAATTTAATATTTACCTCATACTGAGTTTTTCTCATTGCTGCTTTACAAAAACCTTTTACATATGTAAAATCATTTATTGAGACAGCCCTTAATATAAGAAGGTATCTATTTTCATATAAACTTTTTCCCTTTATTAAGGATTGACTGCATCTGAAAGAATTGAAATTTATGTTTGAATCACACTAATATTACATTGTGTGTTTGTTACTTCTTTACGCTTAGATACGTAAATTAATTTTGAAGAGTAATACAGCATACTTTTTTCCTGACAATGAAAAAAAACTTTTATGGACACAAAGTGTTTATTAAATAGATAAATATACTCACTCTCCAAAATACTCTTGTATTTGGTGTTTATTTAATGGTGGCAATGGGGTATTGCTGTTAATATCTTTATAAAAATCGTTTTTTGGTATGATCATAACTTCGCCTTGTACTGGTTCTGGGGAATACGATTTATCAGTGAAGTTAAAATTTCTATCATACGCCTCTAACCTAAAAATGAGAAGACAGCTTAGTATTTGTTTTTCACAAACAATAGACGAAGTGGATATAGTTTCACAGAAATATGGTCAAGAGTTTAATGCTAATCAGTAAAAACATTCACCAAAAAACTATAAAACCCTGCAGTAATTTTTGACTTTTATTTACTAACCTCTCTACAAGGTCTGCCTTCCTTCCACTACAGGACGCACCTCTTTTCTTTAATTCTTCTTTGAGCTGGTTTAATTTCCACGTAGAATACATCGTACAGGTAAAAAGTTAATACTAGTTATAAAATATAAATTGTACAATGGATTAAAAACGCCCATACGAAAACATTTCTCATGAACAGTTTCGAACCACAGAATGTAAATAGATCATACGCGTGGCGCCCTCTGCTTACAAAATCTTCCCCGTTCCTGACAAATTTAGAGTTGCCGTATTCGAACTCCAAAATTGCCGGATTTTTAGGGAAAACTAAGAAAATGCCGTATTGTACAAAATATTTGTTTAGAAGGTTACAATAAAAAAAAACACGTGAAATACATATTGTTTAGATAATAAATATGTGTGTACTATAAATGTACTAATTTTATTCTTCACCATATAGGTTTTGAATAGTTTCCAGTACTTCTGATTCTGTCGCATTTGGGTCTTACTGTTTTTTATCTTTCATTTTATGAATCATTTAGTTTAGCACTTGAAATATTGTACAATTACCGTTGCCGATCCGGATCTCCATGGTTCTGAAGGTTAGAGAACAGGAGAACGATCGCCATAGAAAATAGTGTCCCAGAAATATGGACACCATAAGTGAGGAGCTGCGATCGCTACGTTCAGTCAATAAAAGTCATTTTCAGTCTATTTTTCCGATCAGATGCTAAACCACTTGCACATCCACGTACAGTAAAATATTTCTCCATTTTTTAATGTATTTTTTTTCAAAAATTACAAAATTACGGAGCATGAAAATTATCTCACCAATGCCGCGGAGAAAATTTGTACATTATTCAAGTAACTTCATCTACTTATACTCACAAACAGCTAAATTTCGCAGCCACTACCCACCGACGTCAGCACCGCTATAAATTCTACAATTTTCTAGGATAGACAGGCTATGCTTTAGTACGTAGTGATCGTTCTCCTGTTCTCTAACCTTCAAGGTTCACAAGTTGGTGTGTTCCATTATACGAAATATTTTTTTTTTACTTTAGACAATTACCGTATATTTTAATACGGTAATCAAATAGCTGCCGTATACCGTATTTTTGTTGCTTAAGATGCCTGAATGCCGTATATTACGGCAATTGCCGTATCAAGAACAACGCTGAATCTATGATCACGCCTATGAAGTCCTGAATTTCTTAGTAGTACAGACTAGCTTGCTACATATTTATTTATCTATGGTACAGACACGTAGACAGAGAATCCTATAGACACCGCCATAGCGTATCGCAGAGACAAAAAAAAATACGTCACTATATTTAGGGTTACAAGTGTTAGCGACGACAAGTGAATTTAAACATTTAATCTCGATTGTTTCTTATTTGTGATCTAAAACTAAGTGTTAGCAATGATAAGTGAATTTAAAACGTCTAATCTCAATTGTTTCTTAATTGTGATCTAAACTGAGTATAAAGACTAATAGCGTTAATACCAAGAAAGTGAATTAATTACTTATATTAGCTTCAATTCTTATTTCAAAACTACGTAACGAAAGTGAGTAACAAAGTCTGCAATGAAAATATAAATCTAATTGCTTATTTAGGTTTAATTAGAATGTTAGAAACGAAATATGAGCTTAGTTACTTATTAGAACTTTTTCTTATTATAATTTTAAAGAGCTGTATTAGAGATATTAACATTTAAGTGTAAATTTAATGATTTGTTTAATTCTTTTTCTTTTATAGTAATTTAAAACGATAATATGTCAATTAATCACTTTTGTAATCTAACTTCTCATTATAAAATAGAATTTAATTTAATAAGAAGATAAAATATATTCTGTATAGTCATAAGCATAATAATTATCATGATAAGCATTGTGCATTCCTGCCGCTTGGCGGCGCTACTTGTGGGTTTTTTTTTGCGCCCGAAGCAATTAAAGGGCTACCCTATACGTAGGGAGGCGGAAAATGCATTACGCATACCACGATAGCCGGTCTATCGTGGTTATGAGGGGCTCACTGTCCTACCGGGGACCCTAAGTGATACCCTCTAAAAACCGCCTTTGGGGACGGGCAGCCGGCTGATTAAGCTGTATTGTGCCTTATCATGAGCGACCCTCTTTTGGGAAAAGAGGGCGCAGGCGGCTAAGAGCCGCTGAGGGAGTGCCTACGAAGGCAAATTAATGTTAGTTAATGCAATAATTTAATTTAATTAGAGTTGGCCTGAGCCGCCAGGAGACAGTTCAGGTCGTTTGACAGTTTATTAGGCGGGTCCGAGAGAGAGTTTCTCGGCCGGCGGACGCGATAGCGAGAGGGGGGTGGGGCTGCATAAGAAGCTGCCTCACGAATTAATCTATCTAAGTCCGACGGTAGGGAGATGGTAGAGTCCTGTGAGTCCAGAGTTTTAGCTAGGGACTCCTTGAATCCCTTCCAGTTAGTGAAGGTTTTCGTGTGTGTTGGGGGAGGTGGCTGATGGCCAAGAATGAGAGAGACCGGTCGGTGATCTGATCCTAGATCGTCTAGTATCTCGATTGCTCTGAGATTGAGAGAAACTCCTTGGAGTAACGCAAAATCGAACACATCGGGGGCGTGATCGGTGTTATCGGGAAAGTTACTCACTTTCCCGATAACACCGATCACACACCGAGAGGACTATGGACGGTAATATCAAGAGACTGCGTGATATCGAGCAGTATCTTGCCACTAGGGGACGTAGTACGGCATGTCCATTCAGTATGCTTGGAGTTAAAATCTCCAAACATAATGACTGAATTGCCTAAAGATAAAATGGCCTCAAAATCTTTTTTGAGGGGATAGGTTCCTGAGGGGATGTAACAGGAGGTATGAGGATGGATGATGTCCAGTATATGGTAATCTGCGGAAGGCCTAGAGGGTAGGTTTGAGGGGATGTAAGGAGGGAGGGAGACCTGCATACCGTGGCTTCCATGTTGGTAATCTGCGGAGTAGAAATGGGCGAGCAATGAAGTGTCTTCTTGTAATAGATGGCCGTTCCGCCGCCTCGGCGGTCGGGTCTGTCGTTACGAAGAAGAGAGAAGTTTTTAATAGAAAGGCCTCTAGTGTCCTTAGCTTTGAGATTAGTTTCCTGTAGGAGGAGGAAATCGACTTCACGATTCCGAAGAAAGAGCTTAAGCTCTGGGAGGTTATTTCGCAAGCCGCGAATATTAAATGATACAAGCGATAAACCCTTAGGTTTAATACGACCGTGAGATTTAGGTAGAGTGATTTGCTCAGTCATTGAAGTTAAGTTAATTAAGTTACTTAATTTACAACGCTAATAGAAGATTGTTGTGTTCTGCAAGAACGAGGAGACGTTCTTGGGGGGACTTCGCCGCGCGCAGTTTGCGTGCTACTACGGTGATTTCCCTAACATCGATATTCCTAATAGCGGAATATAGTGTGTTGTAGTCGTCAGGTGTGGGCTCTGCTTCATGTGCGTACGAGGTTGTCCGCGGTGGGTCTACCTTTTTGGGCCCCCAGGGAAAGACTGGAGGCTGCATTGGCTTGGAGAAGCCCAGAGGGGGCCGAATTATGCCCTGAGGGAACTTGTGTGTTTAAGCGGAAAAAGCTTAGCTACTCCGGAGCTAAACCGTAAGAAGACCGCGCCACTATTTTTATTTTTTACAAGCATAAATTATGAATGTTTAATGTTCGAAATAATAAATATAAGTTATCTCTATTGTCAGGAATGTATAAAAATATTGTAAGGTATGTTTTACCACACTTATTAAAGAAATTTGTAAATTTCCTTTAGAAAAGGTTGTTCTGCGCTCTGATTGGTCGACGGGAATCATTAGTGCCGTGTGCAAATTCATTAGTGCCGCGTGCAAATTTTATTAATTCGGATTGGTCACAGCTGCTATAAAAAAGAGGCGTTTTTCGTGGTAAAACATTCCAAATCCGGCAATGTAAGAATAAGGAATCAAGAAAATAAATAAGAAGAAACTCTGAAGAAGTGTTATTTATTGCTCATCTAACTGCTACTGCATGCTCTCCAGTTAACATCCCGCCAGCATAACCCGCTCCATTACTAACATTCTCACACACGAGCAACTACATTGGTCCTTCGAGAAGCCGGATCGGGTTTAAGGAAAACTAGGAAGATGCCTTCAAATACAAGATCAAAATCAGTGCAGTCGAAGACTACGAGTGAAAGTAACGCCACTACGGGTACCAGTACGACGGATTGGAGCATGAATACGCCGAGTGAATCTACAAGCACGACGGCTACGAACACGTCAACATCAGATCGATCGACGCTTACAAGATCATCGCCCAGCAGCGTACACAGACAACCCGTACTTCTTACTAAGAACATTGCCGGAAAGGAATCAACACCGCCCGCACCATCGAAGCGTCAGTTCCTCACCAAGACGAGAGTCATCTTACGCCGCAGATTCAAGAAAGAAGTATCGCAGTGAAGACATGTCTGAACGAGGGAAGCATACCAACGTCCAGAGAAAAGAGTCTGCAGCAGCCTCACCCTAAGAAGATGACCCGCGATCACAGACACACTTTCCGTTCGCTCGTCGCAGAGGAAGAGAGCAGAAGCGCAAGCAAAAATAACAATGGCATTAAGGGAACTAGAACTGGCAGAAGCTCGATCAAAAGTTGCTCAAGCGGAATTAGAACTTCTCACCGCGGAGTCAGAAGAAGATGGTGCCGGAGAAGAGCTGTTCGAACGAACACGAGAAGTTGAGCGGTGGTTCATCCAGACCGGAGACATGCCTAATAAGAACCACAAACCAATAGAGGCAGAAGAAAAGAAGAGCGACATCCAGGAACTAGCTTCAGTCATACTCAAGCTATCCGAAAAGTCACGTGACACCGTTTCACCGAAGCACCTCGAACTCCCTCACTTCAACGGGGCGGTTCATGAGATATATTTTTTTAAACCTTTCATACAAATTGGCAAATAACACGCAATTACAGAATAAATTTGACAAATGATTGATGTCAAACGTCAATTAGTGTAGGGTTCCCAAAATTTTGAAAGTATCGATACCTACTAGATACCAAGTATCGCATCAAAAGTATCAACACTACTTGGTATCGAGTACATTTCGTTAATTTTGGAGACAAAAAATTATGACAAACCATTTAGATGCATATGAAGAGCTGACAAGTGCAATTAAATACGTATATAAAATAGAATAAAGTTTACTCTATTTTAGTTCCACCTTAGTACTTGTATTTCATCGTTTGCAACTTGTTTGTATTTCTTAATTAGTACAGCTTTTGTGCTTGTATTTTATTGTTTGCAACTTTCTGTATTATCTAATTCTTACTACAATAAAGTGTTTACTTACTTATTTAATATCCAAAAAGTACCCAAAACCGAATCAGAGCACCCCACTATTCACGTGGTTTTGTCTGCCCTACCCTTAGAGTGTATATAAGAGCCCGGAGGTGCGGAGGGAGGGCAGTGCCCGCCCGCCGTAGGGAAGCCTTCGCAGCTTCGGCGACCAGTCTCAGCCGCTACGGCGATCTCAGTGCCTGTGCTTCCCTACGCTAGGGCGGAGGTACTGCTCATCCCGCAGTGCCGGAGCGCCGGAACACGACTTCCCCGTTTATAACCCTCCCACCTCACTTCCCCGCTACTAACCCACCACACCAATTCCCCGCTACTAACCACATCCCACCCCCCTCATCTCATAAGCCCCAACCTTTTCTTCATTTAATCTGGTTCATTTTACCCCTCCTTCCCCATATCCCAGCCCCTCCATTTCATCAGATATACGGAAACGAGAATAATAATAAATAATATAATAAATTTTAACCATGAATATCTCCAAAACCATGGGGATCCGCAGGGTGAGGATGGCACAGGGGGTAGCCATCCCCCTCCCAACACTAAAACCTCATTTATCGGTGGTCCATATTGGAAAGTTAAAGTTTCCAAAATTAACGAAATGTACTCGATACCAAGTAGTATTGATACTTTTGATGCGATACTTGGTATCGATACTTTCAAAATTTTTGGAACCCTATACTAATTGAAAAGTGAATTGATTGACGTTTGACATCAATTATTTGTCTATTTATATAACTTTTGGTGTTAGTTTTTCTATATTATAGTTTCTTTTTTTATATATTGTGTGTTATTAGTATTAATTGTAAATATTATAATTTCATTTCATTAATTAGAAAAATGTTGGCCATTATTTGTCAAATTTATTTTGTAATTGCGTGTTATTTGCCAATTTGTATGAAAAGTTAAAAAATATTTCTCATGAACCGTAAGTTTCCGCAACCTAAAACTTTGTTAAACGCTTTCTTTTAGTGAGTACTATCTACAAAAAAAAATATGGGCTTAGAAATCGATGGTCCATATTGGAAATTTCAACCTTTTTGTACTTTTTTAATGATAAATTTACGTCTAGAATACATTATACACAATATATGCATTTCATGAAATGTTACAGAATGCCTAGTAACCGATAGAGTGGTATACTTACACCATAGAGATATAATACCTACTTACACTCCATTCAGATACATGACATTTTCCTTCCACTATCACTTACACCCTAAAACACTACACCGCACCATGTTTTAAATAACTTTTTTTTACCGTTTTAATATTTATAAATAATTAACGTTTGAATACTACGTCTAAATTGTTCACAACAAAATATAATAGGAAATACTTAACATAGAACACGTAAAACAATGTTTTATACAAAGAATTTACCTCTGCTCTTTCTCTTGTGTGACTGCGACAAAAGATATCACTTTGTCTATAGCATTCTCTGTCTACGTACAGACAGTACCTGTCAATGTCATACTTTATGAGCATGCACTAATTAGGTCGACATGCCCATAAAATATGACATTGACAGGTACTTGTCTGTACTACTAAGAAATTCAGAGCTTCATAGGCGTGATTTTTACTGACAGCTGTCGCAGAGATCAAGCTATCTTTTATGAACTATAGGTATGTTATACCGACTTATGCTGTTACGCACAAGGTTACACAGGCTATGTACACGATCCATTTCAATCCACTAAACTCACGTTCTGCAAATCTGAGTTGTAGTTTAAGGCGGTGCTGTTGTCTCGTCACAAGCGGAACTCATATCACGCTATTAAACTTCCGAAGTTACCGCGCTATATATAGAACAACTACGAAGTAACACACGGAGCGTTGGCCTTGGCCACTTTCCGGGCCGAACATCTTGCCCGGTGGGAGATCTCTCCTGTTCAAGTGAATTTCAAGGAGTTTTGGTGGGAGCTTGGCCACTAAATAATTGTTACTCCTGTATTATCGTTTAAATAATGGCTTGAAGTGGATTTAGATACGCAAAAGTGTGATGTTTGTATATTAAGTTTCTGCGCATGTAACATTATTAATGGAAACTGGAAACTAAGTAACAAGTGCGATGGTGGCATAATTCTCAGGATTTATACATATATTCGTTTAGGGGTCTTGAGATGTTATCGTCATCAATTGTCCCGCTAGGTTATCATTATCATCATCATCATTACAGCCCTTCACAAGTCCACTGTTGAACATAGGCCTCTCCCAAGGAATGCCACAAAGCTCGGTCCTGAGTAACCTGCATCCATCGACTTCCTGCATCCGCTAGGTTAAGCTGTCCTCAAAATCTCTTAAGAACTTTGCTTTGAATTTTGTCCGATTGTTTTTTGTTCACATAACTCTTAGTCTCTTTACTCTACTCTCGTACTCTAAAAACATAATATGTAAGGAGTTATGTGAACAAAAAACATAATACGTAAAGAGTTATGTGAACAAAAAACAAATCGTACTAGGCTGTATCATATAGGAAGACCTTTGGCAGCATTATTAGTGAATTATAACAATAAGTAAATGTCAGCTATCACCTGTCATTCTGTCAATCAAATGTAAACAAAATTTGAAAATTCTTCGAAACTGAGTATAAATCCACTGGTTTGACTTTGATCTCTAAGACTTTCCTAAAATTGATGTTTTAGATATATTTTATTCTGATTTACAGTAGAATGTTAAACACGATAAATTTAATAAATTTAACTCTCGAATTGACCAAATGTAAAAGTATATGTTTTCTGTGCTTAAAAAATCAAAACAACCCTTTGAGCATTTACACTGAATTAGAAGTGAGGGGAGAATTTTTTAACTTTAATTTAACCTTGGCTGATATGATGAAAAAGCTTTTTCCATCACACGTAAGTTTACTTATCATGATAAAATATTGTATTTATTTTTTTTTTTTTGCAAAATTTTATTTATATTATTATTTTAGGAAATCCTCCTTGACCAGGCATGTAAAGATTGCACAGATCTTATTCTAAAAATGTACATAAATATACACAAATATGAAAAGAATAAAACATTTCTAAATTTTATTATAAACTGTATTGAAAACCAACTTCAACATATAAATCCCAAAAATATGGATAAAGTCTTCATAAGGTTAGATACACCTGAACAAAACAAAGTTTTAGAAGAAAAACAATCCACAACAATTGTCAATATGGATGAAAATACCAGTTTTCATTGTAATAAGTGTGACATGAAATTTTATTCACAAGAATCGCTCAAAGAACACAAAATCAATCATAAAAATGCCAATGATGCCATGATTTGTGATACATGTGGGCAAAAATTCAAAACATCAAGATCATTAAAAGCACACCTTAAGTGCCACATAGAAAAGAAGTGTCCATACTGTTTTAAAACATTAAAATCTCATTCACATTATAATGTCCACATAGAGGGACATAAATCAGGAATGAAGAGAAAACGGAATAAACTATACTACAATTGTAATGACTGTACCTATCGAACTCTTAATAAAAAAACACTTGAAGCCCATATAAATAAGGTACATTTGTATATAAGGCCTTATGTCTGTCAAACATGTTTTAAAGGTTTTTATAAAAAAAGTAACTTGACAGAACATTTAACCACACACTTGCAGATAACTAATAAGATTTGTGAAATCTGTGGAGACAGCTTTGTTAATCAGAAAACATTGATGGAGCACCAAAGACTCCATTCTGATTCGAAACCGTATGAATGTGATATTTGCAGTAAGAAATTTGTTACTTCTGGGAGAAGATCAGACCATATAAAAAGGACCCATATGGACAAAACAGAATTTTGTATATTCTGTGACAAGAAATTTAGTTTAAAAAAAGAATTAAATAGGCATGTAAAGAAAACTCACACTAACAACACGCAACCAGCTGGTGATAATTTTGAAGTAAATATTCCAAATTATGGATTTGATCATACAATGTTACCAATGACCACTAATCATATTCAATTTTACAATTTATAGTATTGGCGTTAATTAAACAAATATTTTGCATCATATAGCAAATAATAGTGATTTATTATATCCATCAATATAAATGACAAGATATGGCCGTGCGAACCAAAATTGTTCAGGTTTAAGCGTAGAATAAATCAGCGTCATCTCTTAACATGTTAGCTATCCAGTGAACCGAATACAGTACACGCCGCTTGGGTTCATCACGTCCGTGTACCGTAAACGGTACATGCGCCCTTGCCTCTTTCTTTGAGCTCTAGCTTCATGGAATTCTGAGTTAGTTTGCTTTATTTATCAAGACTTGTCAACAGAGAACCAATCAATGTAAAAAAACGTAAAACATTTCATTTTTTTTCTATGTGTGGGTAATTGAAAAAAATAAGAAAATGGCTTTATTTGTGCAATGAAACTTCACAAAACAAAGACAGAGACAAAGTTTTTACGGTGCATTGTATCATATTTGGCTTTCATTCTTACAGTTTTTGGAAGACTTCCAATGTCAATAAGTTTTTTATAACTAAGCAACAAACAAAGCAACATATAGATATATCCCTAACATTGCCAATGGGTTCTAAAAATGTGAGCTCCTATTGGATCTAAACAGTGTTTTTTTTATAGAAGAGGGGGCAAACAACAAAACATATGCTCATATGGTTCACCTGATAATAAGTGACTACCGCTCCCCATGAACATCCGCAACACCAGGGGAATTGCAGGTGCGTTGCCGGCCCTTTAGAAAGGAGTAGACTCTTTTCTTGAAATGTACAGTGGTGGACCGCCAAGCATCCAGATGGTCTGGATGGTGTGCGGAGGTTTGCCGCGTAGTGCGTTCATGAAATTTGGGGGCTGGGATTAATCAAAACAATTCCTCAGAGCACTCCCCGTGATAGATGCGATAAAATATGCAAAGAGATGCAACATCTCTTCGCGGCGGCAGTGAATCGAGCCGATCGGAAAGCAATCGGTCGTCGACGATTCGAGCCGCTCTGCGCTGGATGCGATCAAGTGGAAGGATCTGGCACTGGGGAGCCCCAGAGATGGGAAACGATGGCGGCCGAACCTACGCCTTGTAAAGTTGCAGGCGGTGTGCCGGCATGAAATATTGTCCCGCTCTGCTGAACACGCCAAGCTTTTTAGAGACCAATTTGGCCATCTCTTCCAAGTGACCTCGAAACGGCACGTCACTCGATATGTCAACACCGAGGATTCCGATACTGGCTGAGGCAACAAGGGGAGTGCCTTGAAACTGAGGAGATACGACAAAGGGGTTCTTTTTAGTGGTTAACGCACAAACTTGTGTCTTCTGAGGGTAAAACTGGACTAGATTTAGCCCCTCCCAATCCGAGACTTTGTTCAGCAAAGACTCGACTTCAGACACAAGTTTGTCCCGGTACTCGGAGACGTTTTCCCGAGATATATTAGCACGACCGGTGTACAGAGCATCACTAGTGCTGTCATCTGCATAGCAATGAATGCTACGAATGTGCAACATATCATTGATATCTGCATATCAATGATATGTTGCAAATTCGAAGTTACAACAGCGATAGTGATAGCACGCAGCCTTGTGAAGCACCAGCATTAATAGGCTTGTAATCGGAGCTTGCACCGTCTACAACGACCTTGATGTTCCGATCTGTAAGAAAGCTGGTGATCCAATTGCACAATTTTTCGGGATGCCCATAGGAAGGAAGCTTCGAAAGAACTGACGGCCAATGCTTCCCCCTTAGATTCTACTGCCACCACCCATATATGAGTCAGGTAGACCAGAAGATCACCAGCTGATCGATCACGACGAAAACTATATTGGCAATCACTAATCAGCTGGTGATCTTCAAGGTACCTCATGAGCTGGCAGTTTACAATGGATCCTATTGTTTTGGAGAATAAGGAGGTGATGGGCCTGTATTTGGACGGGTCAAACCGGTCGCCTTTTTTAGGGATCGGGTGGACGAAAGCCGTCTTCCATGATTTTGGGACTATGCCTAGGGAGTAGGAGTACCGAAAAAGACGCCTTAAGACCAGTGCTAACTCTGGAGCACACGTCCACAGCACAATTAGGGGGATACCGTCAGGCCCACTCGACTTGTGGATGTCCAGGGAGAGAAGTGCTTTGCGAACCGAGCGCTCTGTAAACCGCTGCTCCGGCAGGGAGCACTCACACCGTGGGATGGTCGGCGGCGTACTCACCCCGTCATCGAGAGTCGAGTTGGACGCAAAGAAAGAGCCTAGCAGATCGATTTTCCCCTCTGCGGCATGGGCCGGTAAGTCGTCCTCCCTGTGCAGAGACGGAAGAGATGGCTGACGGAAATTCTGGACAGCCTTGACGAGAGACCTAAATGCACGGGTTCCAGAAGGAAGGCGAACTAGTTTCTCGCCAATTCTGCCTATGTGCTCTGTATCGCCGAGGATCGCGATCTCTGCCGAGGTGATCTGCAGTAGCAAAGAATCTGTAGCTCTGACTTTGCCTTGGCAATGACTCTTTTAAAGTACCTGGAAGCGGAATTATACTTCTTTTATAGAGCGCTGGTGTTTACATCCCGGGACGTTGATGCATAATCCCAGGCATAGATGCTATTTTACAGGAGCGACCAAACCACGGCTGAGATTTGCTTCCGATGGGTACCACAGAGGAAGGAATAAAAAGTTCCATACCCTGAAGTACCACATCAGCGACAGAATCAGCTAAAACGTTGGGATCGCCCGGCGAGAAGCAAACTCGCCCCCAGGGGTAGGATGAAAAGAAAGACCGCTGCTATCCCAATCAGCTGACCTGTGGCGCCAAACACGGCGGCAGCCTGCACAATGCAACCGCGATTTCAGCGTGAGTGGCACCACACTCCGAACAAGACAATGGTCCGAGGAGCGTAAAGGGGAATCGACGGAAATCTGATATCCGTCCGGGTGAGAGGTCAGCAGAAGATCCAACAGGGAAGGTGCATGATCCTCCACATCTAAAATCCGCGTAGGCGAAGTAACCACTTGTGTCAGACCATATGCCAAGACAAAATCATGAACAGATCTCTCCGCTTGATCGGTTGAACGTGAACCAAGCTATTCGGCTTGGTGGGCATTAAAATCGTTGAGGAACTCGATCTTATGGTTTAAGACATTTATTTCTCAAAAAGAATACAATTCACTTATCATGAGAAATAACAAGTTAATAATTAGATACTAAATAAATAAACTTATGAAGAACGGCAGGTACTTGTAAATGCTCTGTTAAGTAGTGGATACGCACAATCTTGTTACTTGTTGTGGGTAACAAGAAAAGTACGTGTACAATTACATATCGTTATTGAAAGAAAGTCTATAGCAATTACACATAGTTCATATTTGCTAGCAATTTAGATGGTATTTTTATGTCAATGGTTATATTTTAAATAATTGGTAAAATCAAATTAATTAAAGAAATAACATTAGCTTTTTGAATAAGTTAATGTTATTTAAAATCGAGAAAAATCTTTTAAGATGTGGTGCTTTAATGTTTTTTGTATAAAATAAAGGACTGGATCTCTTTTATGTTATTAGGCAATTTATTATATAACTCTGCTCCTTCGTATAATATATTTTTTCTTCCGTAGTTAGTTCGAGGTTGTCTTATGCAAATGTTATTTTGTCTTCTAGTAATACGTTTTTGTATTAGTCCTTTCTTTGTAAACGTTATTTTAGAGTGTATATCTTTATTTAATAATTTATGTACTAATATGCATGTATTATATTTATAAATCTGTAATAGTGTCATTAATTGAGTTTCTTTGTAAATTTTTTCGATGGCAGTTAGATAGTGATAATGGAATAGTAGTTTGATTATTTTGTTTTGACATGTTTCAATTTGCTTTAGATTTGTTTTAGCCGCAGTACCCCACACCTCAATTAGGTAGTCTAGATGAGGTTTTATCATGGAGTTGTATATATCTCACTGATTTTGGCAGACAGCGAATATTACCACGAAGCGCACCCATGATAGAAGATAGCTTAAGATCTTTATTTAGGTGCGGCTGCCACGTTAAGTGTTTATCTAGGTGGAGTCCAAGATATTTTTCTGTACTAACTTTGGTTAAGGGTTCATTATTTATGCGGAGAGTTAAGCGATTTTCGGTTTTTTTTGTTTTTAGCACTGAAAATAATGTAACTAGTTTTAGATGTGTTAACAGAAAGCAAATTTTCTTGGAACCATCCAGAGAGTGTATCCAAATCCTGCTGTGCTTGTTTAATGATCTGCTCGATGTCCTTGCCAAATAAAAATAAACATGTGTCGTCAGCATATAGTATTATATCACTTGACAGGTTAAGGTTATGCGCATCGTTTACGTATATTATGAACAGCAAGGGACCGAGAATAGAGCCTTGTGGTACGCCGCAGGCTAAAGATTCGTGATTACTTTCCATATCACCGATCCTAATAATTTGCTGTCCGTTAGAGAGATATGACCGAAACATATCGTGGGTAGTATCCCTGATGCCGATATCATATAGTTTTTGGAGAAGCAGGCTGTGGCTAATTGTATCAAATGCCTTTTTCAGGTCGATAAATATACCGAGTGCTGCGCGTTTTTCATCAATATTGTTTTTCAACTTTGTCACAAGGTCAAATGTCGATCTTTGCGGAGGAGATCTGCTGTAGCAACGGATCTGTAGCCATTTGGACGTGGTCGAAGAGTCGGTCTGTTTCGGCATTACCGCTATGGGATCTATAAAGACACCCGTAGAAGCGCGGATGATCGTCACTGTCTACGCGTAGCCAAATGATGGACAGGACCTCTGAGTTCGAACCTTCAAGAATGAAGAGGCGTCGAGAACAGATGTCCTCTCTGACGTATACGCAAACTCTAGCTCGGCGCACAAAGGAGTGTTCCAGTTTGTACCCCGCGTAGGAGAGATACGAAGCATCAGCCGGAGAGGATACCTGCGTCTCGATCAGAAAGAGCAGAGCCGGCCTCGCCGTCTTGAGATGGTAGTGGACGGCGTTTAGGTTAGAATGAAGTCCCCTGATATTGCAGAAATTC